GGCAAAGGTGTGGAATGAAAGCAGGGCTTGAGATGAAAGAGGGGTCCGATACTCCCTGGTTAGAGGGGGAGTTGGCGCCTATGCTAGGGAGACATGTACAACAGAATAACTTTCTGGCCTTTAACACGCTGGTGCAAACTGTGATCAGCTGAGGTATTAAAAGGTGGGACAAATTTCTGATACTTTCCCAGAAAATACCAGGAAGCTGCAATGTGGCATGAATTCTTCACGCTGGTCTGAAAGCACGCCAGACTGCGATGGCTTTTAGTATGGCCTGGCTAACGCGTTTTGTGTGTGTGTGGTTGGGGCTGCTAGCACTGTCTCCCCCCGGGTCCAGCCCCTGTGGTTAATCTTCCTTCTGATTCAATCACATCTTGCTCGCTGGCACAAGTGAATGCAGTTCTGTCTTAGGTCCGCAGTAATAGCATTGTTTTCCCTAGGACACGGCATTTCGAATGTCCTCGAAAAAGCAGAGACGTCCCTTGGGATCCCCAGCCCTAGTGAAATCACATCAGAGGGCAGAGTTGTGGCAGGAGGTCAGTTGCTATTATTGAAAATAAGAAATGTAATGTTTGCGTTTCTCCAAGCCTGGTATAAACAGAGCACCATCTCACACTCCCCAGATCTGCTCAGGGCGCAGTGAGACGGACATCTGCTTAGTAAAAGAATGTTTCAGGGCATACGTCTCTTAGCTCAGCAGAGTCTTAGAGTGATCTTCACTCTTTGTCTCACATGAGGCAGCCCCCTCCTTTGTCGGAGATTTGTGCTTTTGCCTGCCTGAAACTGACGATAGCTGTTTACAGTCAGAACTTTTGTTGTTGTTGCTTTGAAAAAAAAATACCCCCCATCCCCTTTTCTCTCTCTCCAATTCAGGGAGCCAGAGTTCTGAAGCAAGCAGTTCAGCCACAGTCGATGACGGCAGTTCCTCGCCCATCAGTGGAACTTTTGGAGTTTTATCCACTCTCTCTACAGCTGTTCAAAGCACAGTGAGTGGGCGGGTGCAGAGGCAGGGTTAAAATAATTTATTTTTCTTGTATCAACACGCCTTGAGCCCACTCTTTATTGTCCCTGGCTTTTCTTCACAAAAATCTGAAGAGGTGATCTTGGCCTTCCGATCTGAAATTACAGATGTTTGCAAACACCCTTCTGCGCAATGGCGAATCCTTGTTTTCTCTAGCACTTACAGCCGAGCAGTGATCTGGAAGCGGTCTCAACTTTTATTAAATTTTGATGCTGCGATGGCTCCGAACAAAGCCGCCTACGGCAGCATCGCATGTGTCACCCTGCTGCTCTGCTGTCTCTTCTGGTTCCCTGCAGAATAACAGGCGAAATTCAAGGGGAGCTTCATTCCTGAAGTTACTCCACTAATTTTAGTGGCGTTTCTCAGCATGGCTCCTGTCCTTCTTTTCATACAACTCTGTGGGATTGGTTCAAATTACTTGACTGGTCAGCTCATCCTACTGACTACAAAAGCTAGCTCTAGTGGGACGCTTTACATGCAAATTTAAAACTCCTGAGTGTGGGAAGCAGAGCTTTCTTGGCGACTAGTCCATAGATCTGGAAGAGAAGCTTCCATACCTACAGAGCAAAATGCAAACCTGCTTCCTTTTCTTTGTTTTCAGTAACCATCTAACAATATACTTTAAAAATGGATAAACGATCATAGTCTAGCTTCTTCTGGCGGAAGGAAGTGAGAGGCGAATTTTAATGTGTGCACTTTATAAATGTAGGATGGTGTGAATGTTAAGGTTGTGAAATGGTAAACTGGTAATCATACCAGTCAGTACAAAGCTTACCGGTATGCTAACTGGTTTAAATAGCCTTTGCTGGTGAACTCCAGCTGTGCCACATGGGAGCAACCTCGGCTGTGGAGGGGTTGGTGAGCCAGGTGGTGGGACCCAATACTGCAGCAGGGCCAGGTGGTAGGCCAGGCAACAGGCCCTAAGCTAAATGGTTAACCTGTTAAGTGCTAGCATTTAATCAGTTAACCATTTGAACAGCCCTAGTGTATGTGTTGAGGGGGTTGTCATATGCACCGGCTGAGCATTCCCATTAAGACATTGTGTGTTCGTGTTTTTTCTTATTTCTCATGTTCTTTCCTGTACATACTTACTGGGGATGGTGGCGTCCGGTATGGGCTTGAAACACAAGCACTTGGCCCATATGTCTTCCTCTGGTATAAATCCTGTTGAAACCATAAAATTAACCAACAGTAGCTAGACAAATAAAGTTTTCTTTACCTGCATTCTCTCGATTTGCAAATCTGCTCTCTAGGGGAAGAGTGTTATTAGTGGAGGTTTGGATGCCTTGGAATTCATTGGGAAGAAGACAATGGATGTGATAGCTGAAGGGGACCCTGGATTCAAGAAAACAAAGGGTTTCATGAGCAGGAATTCCACACTATCACAGGTATTTGTTCCTCTCAAACCCCTATAGGGCGACTCTCATCAGTTTCTCTCATTTTTTTTCTTCCCTATGCTTTTCTTCCAAGAAACCTTCAGTAGGAGCATCAAGTGAATGCTTCCTACATTGTTCTCTGGGGCCTTTGTCTGCCTAATCCAGGCTCGGTTATTCTCTGTGTGCTGGTTTGACGCCTCTGCTTTTCCTTTTCAGGTCCTGCGAGAGGCAAAGGAGAAAGAAGAGCAGCGGACAGCTACCGAGGTTACCATGGCTACTGAGAAGAAAGCCCATTATGGGTTACTCTTTGATGAGTTTCAGGGTCTTTCACATCTGGAAGCTTTGGAGATGCTTTCCAGAGAGAGTGATTCAAAGGTAATGGCTTTGAGCAGTTTTCTATTTCTTGTGTGCAGCTGAGGAGGAAAGAGATGATATCTGGGCACTAAAACCTGTTGAAACAACATTCTTATGGTTGCAATGTCAAGCTTTCAAAACTTAGGACATGCCAGAATTAAGGTTGCCGGTGCAACCTAACTTGTCCCCCTTGTGTGGGTACACATTATGATATTGTCTGATTGCATGCGTAGATGTAATTAACTCCTCAGATCCATCTCCTCTCCCTCTCCCCCCATCTCCTAGGCTCAATGGGCTTGCCCAGCCAGTACCATTTTCAGCACCCTTCAAATTCCTTTCTCCAAACTGCTCTGTCTCCCCTTACACCGAGAGCACAGAGGAGAGAGGCTTCCTCCTTTCAGTACACATGCCCAGGTCCAGCCCAGCCCTGCAATTGCAAGGCAAGTCCTGCTTAGCCGTGGGGCTACATCATGCTTCGGGAGACATAATCTTCAGCTAGAACTGAGCTGCTAATATCCAAGAAGTCTCCAGTGAGCATTTACAAACTGCAGTAACAGCCAAAGGCTTATAATTGTCCAAATTGGGGTGGATTTTCACAGGGGGTGGGGCCAGGGTTACACTCTGAATACTCCTGCCCCTGGCCAAATTTCAAGTCTCTGCTCTATATAGAATTGATGTGCTAGAGCATTTAAAAAAAAAAAAGAGTCACCAGAAATTAGTGAACGTGGGCTGCATGTATTTTTCCCTAGAATGGCTGATCCCTTCTAGCTGAAATCTTCCCGGAAAATTCTTTTTGAGGCACATACGTTGGCATGGAAAACTTGAGGCCAAGTGGCGAAGCAGCTGAAAACAGGGCCTCCTTTCGGGGGAGCCTTGGGCAATCTGTATAATAGTGCCACTGGCCTGTTACTGCATAAATAAGTCTGAGGCCTGGTGCCTGTGGGCCGAGCAGAAAGTATGGGCGGGAAATGGGAAATAGGAAGTAAGCACAAAAGCACATACAGGCCAAATTCTAACCATACTGTACCAAAGTGTGTTGTTTTCTTTACATATGAATTTTCCCCAGCTGTCATTTTTCCTCTGGCCAGCAAGCCGACTCTGCTTCATTCACTGCAAACACCTGTGCTCAAGTGGTTAGCAGTAGGCACAGCTCTTGATGTTCACTTCCACGCCAATTCCGTAAACCTGACGCTTGATTGGCTAGTGGGTCACATGATCACTCGCCTGCATGCGCAGTTCTGTTCTTCCTTGATCTCCCCACATATGACCAGGGTGATATTTTCAACCGTGGTGATCCTATCAGGTTAACACACATTGTATCCCAGCTATTCAGTTTTTGACACTATCAACTGAAACATGAAATATCAGGAAGTAAAGAATCAATTTTCTCCTTAGTGGGGCCTGGCTGAGAATTTTCTGTCCTGAAGGGACAGCTACCTTTGGTATCAGTATATCATGAATCCTGCTGCACTGTACCCTTTCCATCTTGTTTCTTGTTCCTTTTTGCATGTATGACACTTTTTAATGGTTGTCTCACTCTTAACTAGGTGAAGTCGGTTATAAACGCTCTCTCCGGAGAAGAGTTAGAGGTGTTAAAAGGGGAGCTGGAGCAGCTCAAAGAAGCATTTTCACTAGCTGAATTTTATGATGATGAAGAGGAAGAAAAGAAGGGTAATTAAGAGGCTCGGTGTTTACAGGCGGGGAAGCTGTTTTTTAAATACCAATTTAGGGATATAATAGTGTCGTTGATTAACTGGTAAGCAAAAGCTTGTAAGTTAATGCTATAGATGCCATGCATTTCCCCCGCTCCCATCAGTACACTTTTTAGCAGGCTGGCCCACAGCACAGCTCAGTCCTGGCTTGCGCCGTGTCTGGAACCTCCCCCTGCTGTGGCTCTGCATTTAAAGTGTGTTAGGAGCTGGGTGGACTGGCAGACCAGTTCAGTCCTGACTTGCACCGAGTCTGGGAGCTTGGATTCCTTCCTGGGGCTGTGCCAGAGGTAGCAGCGCGGGGTGACAGGCAGCCAGTCTGCAAAGGGAGCTGGTTTTTAAACTGGCTCCCCTCGTGGACCAGCTCCCACCTGGAGCCCCATGCTGCTGCCTCTGATCTAGAGGCAGCAGCGCAGAGTGGCAAGGGGTTCCTTGAGAGTGGGGCTGGATTGCACTGGCTGCTGGCCCCGCCCCCGGGGACTATAGAATAGTCAATTAACCGATAAGTTAACATTCATGAAGTTAATCGACTATTCAATTAACTGATATTTAATATCCATATTTCAATGTTAAAGCAGGGAGCCTTTCATGGCTATGTGCGAAAAACTTTGGCTCAGATATTACTCAGCTAGTCCCTTGATCCTCAAACGGTCAGTAGTTGAGAGGCAGTGCCCTTAATCTCACGAAGGATGGGGAGAACTCCTATTCAGGGACCCATTGAGTGTGCAGGAGTGGAACTGATTGGTACCCTGGGCATAAGAAAAGATGCCCCTTTAATGCAGGACCTTCTGAAAGAGAAGAGCAATGAATGGAGGGACTGCGAGGGGAAAGTGAAGGGAGAGACTATAGGAAATCCTGAGAATAACTTCTTCCCAACGCCCTCCTTTCCCGGAGCTAAGGGAAACCTCTAGGAAACTTCTCTGACTTTGAACAAGGACCTTTCTTTAAAGATGGTTTCTACTAGTATCAGGCACAATTTGGAGGGACACTGTAAAACTCTGAAACCACTTGCACAGCAGGGAGCCTCCAGCTGTTGACGCTCATGCTAATTTGAACACCAGTGACTTTCTTGTTCCAAATTTACCCGAATGGCCGAGCAGAGAGGGCAGGTGTGCTCTCGCTTGTCTTCAGATCTGGGCCCTCGAGAGTCGTCTTTGTCATTTTGATCTTTGTACCAGATGGCTCCAGCAGCTTTTGGAGTGTTTTGTCCACATCTGGCCCTGCATACTTAACAGGAAAGCCATTGGGTTTAAAAGGCCTTAACGCTTCTCTAAGGTGCTGTGAAAGCAAATGTCTTCTGAAATGCAGGAGTTGTGTTGTCTGTGGCTGGATGCTAGCTGTCAACATGGAATTATCTTGGCCAAAGGCTAGTCAGTCCTATAAACATAACAGTAGGTTCTCAAAAGCAAATAACGTCTAATACATTGCATGCAGAACAAGTTTGAGGGGTTAGACGCCTTTGTTGACTATGTGATTTAAAAATGAATTATAAGCAGCCATTGGCTGTCAGCAGTCGCTGTCCCCTTGAAGCACGTGTGTGGAAACAAGTTGTATGGTTGATCTACACTGTATGTTTCCTGATTATTGTGTATTTGGGTAGTAAAGACTCAAACTTTGCGGCAGCGAGTCTTGCAAATGGGCTTTGTTTCCTTCAGGAGATGAAGATTTCACAAAGGAAATAACTTCACTGTTCTCCGAGCTGCACGTCTCCACAAAGCCGGACAAACTAGCCACGGTGAGTTAGCTTT